CTTATATTTAGTATATATATATATATATACTAAATATAAGCAACATTCATATATATATAGCATAAGTACACGTTAGATTAAAAATATACGCGGATGAAACGTTTGGTAGTAAAAAATACAACCAGGTTTCATTGATTGTATCATGAATTTATTTGGAATATGCAATATTCCTATTTCTTATACTTTAAATATGTACAAACGATAGCGTGATAAAGTATAATACATATTATTTTATAACAGATGTTAACAAATAAACATACTAATCTAATATATTAAAAATAATTATATTCTCTAACGTTTGGACCGGATCCGAATAACTATAAATTATTTCATTATATTCCTCTTTTTATATTCTTATTGAATTTTTCCTACGAATCCCTGAATCATTCGTAAAAATAAAAGAAAATAGATTACCAGTCCATTGCCGAATCTCCGAATAGTAATGCAAGAGCTTCGAATTGTAATACGACAAAATATTACTCATCGATATTACTCAGAAATACACCATATTCACTACAATAGGATATCCAAACAATTTATGTTTTGCATGGAAGATTCACGATGTCCAACGTGAATCAGTCGTTATAATTATTTGTTTATATACACTTGCTTGCCATCTATACTTTTCTCAGAGTTTTCTTATGCTAAAGTGAGAGAGAGAGAGAGAGAGAGAGAGAGAGAGAGAGAGAGAGAGAGAGAGAGAGTGACGAAAGTAGCCGGTTGATAATAATTATTTACTTCTGTCTCTTCATTTCTCACATCGAGAAGAGTTAAAATAGCATCTTATGCGTTGTTTGAAACGATAAGAACTATCGCATCTTGTGATCTATTAATGTGAAATAAAAAACATCATCGACAACATACCGCAATAAATGTCGGCATCTCGAAATATAATTTATTACAAAATAACCAAAATTCAATTTCTGACGTATTTGCAGATCAATATGTGGAAGACCAATTCTATGTGGCTTCGAAGGTTAATTAAATTTTCACTGCTTAAACACTGTCGCACTTTTTTTGTCGTGTCACGCACACAATTGTATAATTTAATAGTTTTCTCTACATATAAGCGTTGTACCTTGGACATTTTTCTATATATGAAAATTCAACGTATCTATGAAGGGGGTAGACGTAAAGTCTAGTTATAACACACATTTAATGTCGGTGCTTTAGGAAGAATCATAACAGTTCCTGGGACACAAACTACATCCGTTTAATCAAAATTTCTGCCAAATATCGCTATCACTTTATTCGCAATGCGCGCGTTCATATTTAACATAACTTTTAAATTCACAACGCGTATTATACTGTTTCACTTCTTTTTTATTTTTACGCATGCAATCCATCGTTCGATTTGCCGAAACGTTCACGTCAACCCCATCATAAGATACTGATTCTCAACGAGGGTGAAAAATTTTCTGAATATAAACACGAAATGTCGCGTTAACAAAATTTCCGAAAGCTTGCCGTCCGTAAGTCGTTTTGGAACAAACATTTTTCCCTGTAATTCAGGAAGATGCAGCAGCAACATCGCAAAATATTACTCATAAATGCACGTTACAATACAAACACATGAAATGACGTCAATTCTATTTCCTTTTGCCGAAAATATCACTGTGCGAAAATATTTAGGTTTTATATGAATTATATCAAATGTAAACTCTATGGTGTATTCTGTATTACAAATGTAGTCCATAGGATATTGCTTACTGCAATCTTTTCACAAAGGATAGGCATTTATTTCATGCTATCATTCCATTTGATACGTTCCATCACATCTTTATACATAGTGCATTTGTCAAACAATTGAGACGAAAATTGTTCGAGATTACGTGACAAAACGATTTTATTAAAGAAATTTCATGAAAATTGTATAAAAACTCACATAAACTTATTGCATAAACCATCAGTGAATTATTGGTTTAAACACTTTTTAAATTAACATGCGGCTAGTTATCAGAATATGTACTAGTAATAGCTAGGAACTTGAAGAAGCATTACCTTCATTTTTCCACTTTACTTCCACTTTTCACTTTTGTATTGATACATGGTATTGATACATTCAATATGCAAAATAGGTCATTCATTTTGAATAACTCTATATAGCACGTCATGTCAATTCATAAATTGAATACAGCATTTTCTTTCTCCGAAATTTCTCTCAAACAAAATTATTTCATACACACAAGATACATATATTCAATACGTATATTCAACGAGAATATCGTGGAATATACAATCTGAAAAAAATTATTTCACTGTTGCAAAGAGGTAGAAAATAAAGTAACGTGTATGTGAGCGAGCACGCGCGCGCGCACGCTCGCTCGTTTTTGTGTGCGTGTAATATGTTAATATGTGTGGAATGGATACATCTGGTTCGAAAAGAAGAATGTTTTGTTTCGGATCTACTTATGCCCTGTGACAATCGTAACAGGTGTCGCGAAATGAAGTAGATCGCTTTACATAAATGAATGAATCGTCGACTGTAATATTCTAAATTTACACACTTTAATTTTATTTACAGTTACCCAATGTAGATAGATGTACTTTGGAGAAAGAAATAGCTTGCACTATGTCACTTGTACACAAACTTTATTCCTTTAGTTGTGTGCACTTTGTTGCGCGTCAAGAACACGAGATTTTCCCCCACAACACCTTGCCTATCTCGCAAATATTGTTAGACTCGATATTATCGTACGCGAGTCGAAGCATTATCGGCTTTTTTAGAATGCCGAATGGTAGTAATCGTAAGTAGGCCAGTAAGGCTGTAGCCAATCCTAGCTGGTGCGTTGGCGCTTTTTGGCAGCATGCTCTTCGGAAGAGTGTGCCGGCACAGGCATGATCATATCTGCTCTGTTGAACATATACTTGAACTGTGGCATATATTTCATGACACTCCTAATTTGTATTAAAGGTAGTTCTTCGGTTAGCGAAGAACACTTGCCTGCTTCCATCAACATCTTCATTTGTAGTCTATAAAATACAAATGAATTGTTTCTCTCGTTAGGATAAATACTCATATGTGCCGAGTACCCCTAAAAGCATGTGCTATTTACCTATTTCCTTGATATAAATCTATATGTAGAACATCTGTAAGAACTTGTCTACAACTGTTGATGTCACAGGCAGGAAAGTATTGAGAGATAAAGTCGGGAAGAGTCATTAACAACTCGGTATAGATGTAAGGTTTAAAGTTAATGCAGGGTACCATTTTTTCTTCAACAAGAGCTTTCTGTATCTGGTATGGTTGTACATGACAGGCAGATACATGTGACTCCGATATTTGTATTAAAGGCTTTCTACCTCTGGAATCCCTGAAAAATAGCTTCAACGTGAAAACGGTTTCAGTTAGAAAAAAAAATTTTTTTTTTTACTTATGTTTTGTTGTAATCGAAATTCTTCGATCCTTTATTTGACGTATATTATAAAATTGATCCTTTTATTTGTCAATTTTTTTTCTTTTATTTTTGATCTTTTGCAATTCTTTTTATTTCGATTCCTTGTAAATTTTATAATGTTGATTATAAAATAACAAATTTATGATAAACACCTGGAGCTACCATTGTTACCATTAACTGGTATCAGTGGAGGTGGAAACTTGTTAAGAGACGTGCTATGCACAGGTGTATGCCTCTGCTGTTGGTGTAATAAATTTGGTGCTGATGTAGGCACTGGCATCAAAGCTTGAACTTGTTCACTCAACCCAAGCATCTGCGGATATGTACTTGCCGTGACTGCATTAGGTACACCTAAGGTGGGTGTTGCATTATATGTAGTAGTCACCCTGAAATTTATAAAAATGATTCAATTTTCAAGTATTTCCCGCAGGACAATCGATTATAATTTTATAACATTTATTCCCAACCGTTAAAGCTTTTAATGTTTTCAGCAATATAAATGCCTGTATTACTTGTATATATTACATTTTACTTACTTAAATTAATAAATTATTCGCTCAATACATTGCAACATCAAGAACAATATGCAATTTATACAGAGACGTGATTAAACAACATATCTGTACAACATTTATGCATATTACAAGCCACAATTAAGTTAAAATAATTGAATTTATGAAGAAAAATATATAACTTATTAACATTCTCTCTCTTTTTTCTCTCTTTCTCTCTTTTTCTCTCCCTTTCCGTCTCTTTCTCTCTTTCTCTCTCTCTCTCTCTCTCTCTTTCTCTCTCAAATGAATATCTGCGCAAAGATCACTCAATTTGTAATGACAGCATTAGTCTATAAAATCAGTCATAAATGCTATGAGACCTTAAATGTATGAAAACTCGTTATGTGACATATCACAGCATATAGTATAATATCAATCTTTTAAGTTACACATACATTATTGTCGTAAGTTATAAATTTCAAAACTATTTTACACGAATAAGTAAATTATTTGTACACGCAAAGAAGTTTCAAAAGGAATTTATGTATATGCGAATTGTGTGTATGAGAAGATTTTTAATAAAAAAATAATTGTTAAGTATAAGTATTAATACTAGATTATATTAGATTTTGATTTGTACGGTTCAGATTGATGTAAATATTAAAGTTGTGCATGCTAATCTTACTTTTCATGATAGTCTATGCGACTATAGTACATTTTACAGGACTCACCAGTCATCCTTCCCATAGGTGGGATAACTATACAAAAAAAATCATACGTTGTATGTACAAATGCAGAAAGCTATAGTGCAAATACTCTACATATAATAAATAATCTTTCGTATACGATAAATAATTTTTAGATTTATATAAAAACAATTTTTCACAAGCCGAAATAAGCTTAATGCTCGACATGTCATGCTTAATGTGCTCTATACAAAGTGTGAAAATTCTCTTCTTTACTGATTATTTTAACATTAATATACATATGACCAGGAAACGACACATTTATAAATTGTCTTTCTTTAAACAAACTTTTATCCATTTAGCACTATGTATCATGTATCTTTATAACTGTGCTCGCACAAAATTCGATAAGCATAATCTTTTTTCGAAAAACTACTTTGTGTCCACGAGAGATTTGTCTGACTTTAAACACAATTCTGTGTAAAGATATAAAATAAACAGGCAATTTTGATCAGATATTATACAGTCATTATTGGTTTTGCTATATCGAAAGCAAGCATTCATTCTATAAGTAAGAATACTACATTGTTGCTAAAGAAAACTGTTAATAAGAAAAACTGAGGAATTTCTTGAAATTATTTAAAACTTTGTGAGCTTATAATAAACGTATGTATAGAGTAAGCTATGATAGAAAGAGAAATCTCAATTAACACCTACCCCAGATTAGGTTGGCTGGTATGAGCAGTTGCTCTTACAAGAGGTGGTGGTGGTTGAGCTTGGGCTACACTTTGCATGGTTGTAACTGGATTGTAGACTCCAGGATATGGGGCTGCTGCCGCATTATTACTTGCCCTACTTCTAGACTGTTGGGAGTAAGTTTTAGAGGCAGCAGGCATTTGCTAAAAATAAAATATTAAGCATTAGATGTGAGAATGAATATAATAATAACGTGTTAAATTTTAGATATCGTCGCACATTTGAAACGAATATCAATGAAAGTTTACATATCGTATTTCAAGTTAATATCAATAAGACAAGCACAACATCTATATAGAGCAAAACAAGTAATACTGAGAGTACATAGAAAAACATAAGCAATAAAGCTTAAGCAGTATGGAATAAACCTGAAGAAATATATCGATTGGTTGGTCAATTTCCTTACTGTTTAAGTCTTACTCCATTTTTCTGGGTAAATGTTTACAAGTACTGCTCCACCAAAAACCGCATTTTTTGTAGCAATCAATAAAACAAATTATAAAAAGAGATTTATATAAGTTTTAAGGAAGGGGCATTGAGATTTCTTGGGTCTTTTTACCCGGAGACTCAACTCCCAGGACTACCGTCCAAGAGCTCGAATGTTTTAACAACAATAAACACGTCTCCCGACCAGAGGTTCTCCCCCCCCCCCATTTCACGTTACAATTTCTTTATATTGCAATAAGAAAAATGGTAAGAAGTCGAGAATTCCAAGTTCTTTGGAGCAAGGGCAATTTCTGGAGACGGAATAATTTCAAGGTCAAGATCTCGAACCTTATACAAAGGCCTTTGCTAATTTTTCAGGGTCTTTTAATACAAAATATACACTAGTCCATTTAGACGACGACGAAATATTTAAGCGTCAATAACTAGAGAAGCTCAAACTTGTTTTTCCCCAAGAAATGTCATGCCCTTTTCTTAAAACTTGCATAAATATCTTTTGTTGATTACTGGAGAAAAACGCGAATTTTGTTGCAAGATTTACCTTCTATGCGCCGCTAATTAAGTGGGAACTTACGTTATGCATATTGAGAGAGGCATTGGGCATTCGTATGATGGAGTTTGCCTGGGAAACGAGCGACGTCTGAAAGGCTGGTTGGCCACCAACGAGCCCGGTCCAGCCATTAACGACACCCTGAACGGTATTCAGCATAGATTGCGACACCATGTTCGACCTGCCGGAGGGAAGTCCCGATGGGGAAGAATGTGCAGGGTGCGTGGTAGCCACTGGCCTCGGTTGTCCTATTCGCGGTATTTGCGGTGCAGCCGCAGCTCCTCGCGGCATTATATTAGGCATTGGAGCGGCGCGCGCGCTCAGAGGTACTTTACTCGCGTTATTTTGCACGGAAGTAGGCTTACTCGCCGGCGGCGTAGGCGGCTGTTTTGTCCATCCACCGCCGCTACCACCGCCATTGCTATTCACTAATAACTGCGAGTCCATAACTTTACTCGGCCAATAGTCCTCGAAGCCGGTGCCCGGCGGAAAGTAACTCTTAATATCACTCAAACTAATCACCGAGCACGTTTCACTAGCAAACAGTTCGTTACGTATACCCTGTACCTTGCAGCAGAACTTCAAGTAAGACAGATCCCAGCCCTCGAGCTTCTCCGCCTTCAACTTGAGGTTCTCAGTCTCACCCTCGAAATAAAACAGCGGAACGTACTGCAAGCCGTCCTTCACCGTATAAGGAACCACCGACTCTTTGTTTATCCGTATAAAACCGCATTTCTCCGCCTTACGGCCGCTAGTCACACTTGGATTCGTACCGGCGGTAAGTTTCGTGTAGCACACGTCGAGAAACTTATAAAATTCCTTGGCGTCTATCAGACGCACCACCAGATCTTTGCACGTAAACTGTTCCCTACCGAACTGATTCTCGCAGTGCTTACCGTTGATTTCGTTGAATAGCTTGCTTTCCGCCTCCGTGATGTAATAACTCCTTATACAGGTGCAGCTATAGATGTCCGAGTGTAGATAGCTCAGGTACTTGTTGAGAAGCTTATTTTCTAAGATGCGTACGGCGCAATACTTTTCGGTGACGCGATATATATAGGGTATGTGATTCTCGTCGAAACTGGTCCAGCCAAAGCGTCCTCTGTGGCTTTCGTCATCCAACGGTGGTACTACTCTACTGTCTGGACTGTCGGCCGGAGCTTTCGATACGGACGTCTCGTTCGGCCGTTTATTCAAGTATCCGAGGATACCGGGTAGATTAGGCTGTGACACGAGACACTGCGGCCTCGCTTGTTGCACCTGTATAGTCGACATTTTCGCCTTGTTTGCTTCCACCATTTTGGCAGCCAGCTCACAGATCTCCGCTTCATCTTCCTGACGTTCTTGTTTCACAACGACTTTATCGAAATCTGCAGAAAGACAAAGTATATTGCACAAGCTTGCTCGAGTTCAGATACATTATAGGTCAATCCGGCTGAGCTATCGAGACGGGTAATTTTTTCTATTTCTAAACACACCGTTGTGCCATAGATCACCACTAACTAATTGGCCAAAGTTCAATGTGAATGCTGTCTCTATACCTCTATTATTTAGTTAACTAACGGTTGACTGATTTTTGCTTTACCGTCATTGTATACACGAGATTTCAAACAACCTCACTTAAAAAAGTCCAGAGTAAGGCAGGGCCGTTGTCGCCCAGAAATTTGCGTTACTAACAAGAATAAAATCTTTCATATCACAATCACTGAGCCGAATTGATTATAGTAATTAACTATAGTGTACCCAAATTCTTTTGCTTAGAATGGCAAGAACACATTCTAGAACATATTCTAAAAGTTTATTCATTTCCTCCTCGGGACACCCTGTATATCGCGCTTGAGTTATATTGTACATAAGTTGTGTTTATAGATAATAATTGCACGTGTAATTAAACTAATTTCTTATTTGATACACGTTACATCGAGAACACGATGTATCTGCACACGAGGTCAAGGAATAATTTAATTACAATTTTATTTTATGAAGAGACCCTACAAGCCTGAAAATTTTAATCATAGGATACTGACATTTTTCTGCAAAATATTACGTCGCATGTGGTTGCACAGAATTATAAACGCTTTTACGCAAAGAAGTTACCTGTGAAAATGGAGCATTATACAATATGTGATGAAGCTGATAAAAAATTTCATAATTGACATTTCTAGATATCAATTAAAGCAAATATTTATCTGATTTATCTGATATAGAAAATCTTGCAGAACTTGTACATATCAATGCACCAAAGAAAATTTCAATTTTTAATATTTTTATACCTTTCTCAAATTAAATATAGATGTTTAGAGAAAGATACGAAAAATATACAGAAAAATTCTTACACATTTTAATAAAACAGAGTAGCATGCGCTCGTCGCATTTATATTTACATCATACTTACATTTATGTAAGATCTATATAAAGAATTTTATATAAGAAGTGCAAAAAATACAAAAAAATCAGCGTGATATCGTGTCAATATTTATGTAACATTCCATTCTGAACATTGCTTCTACGTTATTGACGCTTATCAAGTTCGTCATCGAACTCAACTCGAGATTATTCTTTATTTTATTTATTCCTATACAGGCTGATTCTAACTGGGTCATGGCTTTCTTCTAAATCAAGATAAAAAAAAGTGGTAGAGGAAAATCTGTCACTGTTTAGTACAATCTACCATTCTGTAGTTATATTTTTTCGAACAATGTACCGATGCACCTACATTTTTCTTTAAAATAGAATCATATGATTTTCTTAACATACATCAATTCCCTGGTTACTTTACGCATAAATGTAAATAAGATAATCGAAAGATAAATATTTTCCGAGATACTTGACATTTTTCCCATTACTTTTCGATATGAAATATGAATTATTTCGTAAAATATTCACTCTTCGATCACCTTCATATTATTTTATGAAGAATAACAGGTGGAATAGTTGAAAAAAAAATCTCATGCACCTACAAAATGCAACGGAATTTCTTTTAAGATTTCTCCAAGCCTATTTTTACAACACTTATATATCTTTACTTCGTTTTATCCTATACTTTAGTTTTTACACTTTTCTATGTTATTTTATCCTTAGATATACTTTTTATCATGAGGAATTCTTCTGGCAGCATACTTATGTTATTTATAGTGAAATATATCCTTTGTTAATCGCCAGTCATTAACGGATAATGTAGAAAATCATTGGATTTTGCATGAAAAAGTGGCAAGATGAAAATATAAGAAATTATTTCTTATAATCGCCTATCGCCTACGTGTACCTTTGATGTAAACTAAACATATACCGTATATAAGTTGGATCCAATTGCAAGAAATGGAAGGTATAGGTCACAGTCACAAAAAAGTTGAAACACTTTTTCTTTGATAAATTTCGAAAATGCATCTCGTGTTCAATAGAAGAATTTGCTTTCCAGTAATTCCCAGGAGATACATTTTTCTATTAAATACAAGATACGTTGGTAAACTTATCGAAAAAAAAAAATGTTGCAAACTTTTTACGACTAACCATACACATATTATTCACTACTATTCGTCCCTTCTGTAACAAAGCCAACGAATTTTCTCACAAAACAATCGGCACAATAATCGCGCATTTTCACGTATTAGAATCGCGAGCGGAATTTTTCCGCTCGAAAAGAAGATTAATAGACTCAATTGTCACACATTAACTTCTTGGGCCGGAACAACAATCGAGATGATTCCCGTGGCCAAGCGGAGAGAGAGAGAGAGAGAGAGAGAGAGAGAGAGAGAGAGAGAGAGAGAGAGAGAGAGAGAGAGNCAAACAAATAAGCTGTGTCGCGCGTGAACTCGCGAGTAGCTAAAACCCAAATACCGCGCACGTGACGCACTTGAATTAAAGATCGTCGATTGATCGCTCTGGAGCGTGTCGCCGCGCAGCGTCACCGTCGCAGCACCGCGCACTTGGTGACACACAACGCTGCGCACCGCATAACAGATCACGGCGTGCGGCACGATGATGCGATTAGCGCGAGCAACGCCAAGCAACGTAAACACTGCACAATTGGCGATTTTACAGCTTGACAATCCAGCGATCTCGACGGGGAGAATCGAGGAGCCCGAATTCACACACGGCACACCGAATCCGCTATTCGGCCACAATCCGACGTCGTAGACACGGAAAAATTGCGTATCCGTTTGAACAATTCTCATGTGTCTACGGCAGCTCGACAGAAGCCTAGGGAAAGATGGGAAGAGCGCGAAAGGGAGCGACAGAGATAGCCGAGGACGGCGGAGAAAGGCTGAAATCGGTGCGGCCGCTGGGAACTTCGCGACTCGAGCGCACAGCTAGACATACGAAGATGAAGACCTACTGAGTGACACTCGCTCGGCTGCTGTCCGCGACGGACTGCTCTTCTCGAGCCATATGGCGTCCGTGCTGCTGTCCGCACTCGCGACTGGTATATCCGTGAAGCCGTTCCTCATCCTCGACGATGAAGAGGGTCCTCTTGAATCCAGTGCGCGAAATCACATCTCGACGCGTAGCTGGGCGGCAGCGACACACACTGCTTCCCCGTTGAGGTTATAGCAGCAGCACGTCCGTCCGTCCGTCCGTCTAGAAGCACCGTCGACGGTACGGTGCGCGATCCATGTTACACGACTGCGGGCGTAAAGAGAGGCCAGAAAGATGAGGACGACGACGGAGACGACGACGATGGATGGTCGATCGTATGTACGATCCGCATGGGAAATTTATCCCTTTGCGCTCTCGGTTTTCACAGGTTTTTCACGCTTTCCCCGGACGATGACGATGACGACGATGATGATGACGATGATGAAGACGACGACGTTTCACTTTGTGCGCCGACACTATTATACCAGGTGGCGCGAAAGATCCTCATCACTACTGCCGCCGCCACCTCCACCGCGCGTCGTCGCCACCACTACCGCGCTCGATACGCCGAGGGTGTAGGTAAAACAGGGGGAGGACGGGGTACTTCACCGTCGACTACGTGCATGCCGCTTGTCCGAGCGTAGCTCCGCGGGCCGTCGGAGCTTTCTCAAGAATCCCGACGCTCACACGAACGAGGACACCGTCGCACTATGGTGCCGCGCGCGCGCGCGGTCTCCTCCTCCGCTCTGTTCAAGCTCCGATTTCAGGCCGTGTCGAGCCGTCGAGAGTGCTGCCGCGATCTCTCCGACTCTTTGCGCGGACTGTACCGGCGTCTAGGTACGTCGTCGCGGCGCCGCGGTACGTAGCTGGATTGCATTCTTGGAATATCCGCGGGAATACGGCGCGGCTCTTCGCCTGGAGAATCGAGGACGCGATCGACAGTGACCGCGCGCGCGATGCCTCCGCACGGACGTGTCATCGGCCCCCGCGCTAAGTGTCCGAAAGTGTCCGCACGGAGATGTCTAGTGGATCTCCGGCTGTATCTTGCCTTCATGATTGTAGGAGCCATTGGCTATTGTGGCAGGTATCGGTCGATACGACGAGTTCATAGTTGTTATGGCGGTTCTGCGAGCAGCCTGTATATATGAATGAGTACAGGATAATCGCTCCTTTTCCGATCTGTGTACGCCTGCTTAATGCTTAACATTAGCAGGGCATCGTTCCAAGGTGCGGGGATCCACTGATCGCTGAAAAATCGACCGACTCGTAGTTCCAAGTGTAAATAGTCGCGGAATCCCCCTCCCCCCCTTCTTCCCTCCCTGAAACGTAACACAGAATCGTCAAATTCGTATTGATCGTGGATTCGTATCGGATAATGAATCTGTAAATTCTGATGAGATATTGGACTGTGGGATCGCAAATAAATGCTATCGAGACGCATCTTCGCCAATGAATCTTCTCTCTCCCTTAAATAAGTTTAAGTAAATTAAATTCCCGATATAGGATCAGCGCGTCCACATGTATATTCATCTCACGACTGTTCGATACTCAATTAAATGTGCGAATAGCACAGCATTTTTTCGTGTACGCGGTACACTCGAGTACAAGATGGAAGAGAAAATCGAGAAAGTGGAGCGTCCATCTTGTCATGTTTACGTGAGAAGTAGGATTCTTAGGAATAGCTCCAGCCGTTTGATTAGAAATCGTACCGGTCTGTCTCAGAATTGAATCTTTCAGGGAGAGAGAGAGAGAGAATCCGAACTGGACTCGTTGTTTCCGCTTCTTTGCTAGGAACAGGCGGTATCTAAAGATCTCTCTATTTTTATGGATGACAAAAAGCCGCAAATGTCGACATGACTACGTCACATGTCACGGTATTGATCTTAAAAAGAATTCTCCATCGAATGCGCGAACGTGTCGATCGCAGTTTTCTTAGATTCTCATTCGTTCTCTAGGTAGGCATAGTAGAGTGTACGACCGGAGTCGTGTGACATGGACCGTTTGGTGGCAGGAGCCTAGGTACATACCGCTCAAAGAGTAGCCGGCGTGTAAGATCGCGCGGACGATGTGACAACGCTGTACGGTCGATATGCTCTTTCAGGCAAAGTGCCAAGATTGGTAAACGCACACGGGGGGTATATAGTCGTGGTGGTTTCAGGTGCCCTACCCCTCCCGCTCCCCTCCTATATCCCCTTCCTCCCTCCCGCCCCTCTAACGCCCGCGCTTGATTCGTCGTCCGCCGTAGTCTCCGTCGCTCCTGGAACTCACCCGCGGGATCTGCCACGGTGGTGGGAGACCGTGGGACGGGGGTGGGGGCACTGAAGTTGCGCAGAACCCAGCCAGACGTCGGTTCCGCTCGCGCCATTGCGCAGCTCTTGCGTATATAAACCCGCCGGTCGCTTATGTACTACATATGTATTATACTTATTATTTTAATCATGATTTACGAGCGCGGCGTTGCCGGCTTTCGCACGCGCTCCGGGCACGCCCACTCCCTCTCTTGTCTCACTTTTCAACCATATAGACGAATACATAGAAACGAGCGCTGGTGGAAAAGCAACGTCGCTTGATCGATACTTGAGAAACTTGCAATAAAAAAAAAAAAAAAAATTGCTATCGCGAATATATTTCACCGATGGCCCGTGCAGCCGGATTAAAGATTTCCTAGATGTCGTTCCAGGCTGACCTCTTCCTCGAACAAAGTTCCCAAAATTCCGCCCCGCGATACTTAAGTGCGCATGTTCGTTCGTTGAAAAAAAAAATCCGCCATTTTCTCGCGTGTGCGCGCTTAGATACGTAACGCGAATGGGATAAGATCACGTGTACAAAAACGATAATGTTCTACGTTGAAAGGGAAAAAATGGTATCATTATACAAACTATTGCGGTGTTGCCGTCGCAAAATGGCCGACGTGGCCTTGATAGCGTCTAGTTTTACTGCGTCGCGCATATTGGGCCTGTCGTTTTGGCAACACTGGAAGGTCGTAGCGATCTATTTATAGTAGCCCTCTATCGCCGCTGTTGCTATGCCGAGCAAAGGTTATTTGGTTCGGATTGTGAGGTGGGGATGCGCCGAAGGTGGGGAAGACGGCAAAGTGGGGGGAAGGGAGATTCGCGGGCGTAGATGGAGCGAGAGGGAGAAGAGGGGTAAGGATTACCGAAAGAACAATATGGCGACGGGACGGATGTAGTCTCCTCCTATCTATCCATATACTGCTATAACTCAGCTTTCTCTATCCTCTTTTCTCCTCTCTCGCTCGCGCTCTCTCGCTCAAGCGCGCACTTTCCGATCGCTCTATCTATAATAGCGCGTCCTATTTTCTACACTTTGCGAAAGTATGACCGTGATGGACGGGCGGATTGTTGCGCAAGACGGACTCTAAATGCAAGCGCGCTCGATATCCCGCGCAAAGGCAAATCAATTTCGCAAGTGAGCGCTAATAAGGTGCATTTCCTTCCCGCGACAGATAAATAAAGCCGACAGAGATGAAGGTCACCGCTCGCGCCTTCCCGTTCTCTCTCGGATGGCGGAAGGTAATATAGAGCGTAAAGAGAGCAAAGGTCGAAGCCGAGCGGATGAAAAAGGTCTGGCGTGGAACACAGCTCGCGCGCGCGCGCGCCTCCATCCTTTACGCGCGCATCGTATGTACGTATATATATATATATATATATTTATATATATAAATATATATATATATATACATATATTTTTTGCGCAACTCGCGCAAAATTGCATATGGCGCCGTTCACTCGCAGCAGCTGACGGAGCTTCGGCGCGGTGCTGTATATGCCGCGGCGCGCGCTCTCCTACACGGAAAGCACGCGTGCGACTTGCGCCAGGCGTACCCACCGCGCTCGGCCGCACTCGGCTATCTTCGGCGCAGTTGCCTCTTTGTTACATCACTCTTCGCTCCTTATGTAGTACATAGGGGCGGATATATTATGTACCGTGGGGCCGCACATGTCCCTCCCAGCTCTCTCGTTCGCATTGTATATAACGTGCACATAGCGTGCGCGCTCGCGCGCGCATAGTGTACACATGCGAGAGAGCGAGAGCCGGCTGACGAACGCGCGCGCGACCGCACACTGGCAGCACGACGAGCGAGCTTGGCTCCATGTTACACGATGTGCATGCGGCTTTGACGTATTATATTATTACATGGCAACGCGGTTCTATGAAACGGCGCGCGCGTTAAGTATAGGACGCGCGAAAAGAAAATGTGTGTGTGTGTGTGTGTGTCATACTTTAGTAATAATGTGCTGCTAGAAGAACGCACCGGCGGGCAATATCGAGAATATTTAAGAGGGATTACGTTTACTTCATACGATAAACACGAAAAGAGGATCCTATTCCGTGCATGTTTTTTTTTTTTACATTACTTCGGAAAAATAAAATTACTTGCTCTCTTTCTCTCCTTTATCCATAACGTTTTCGCACCGACGTTACATAACTGGCGTTAGAATGTACCAGGACGTGTTATTTTCTTGTATTTCTGTTCGTCTTAAATTAGTTATGATTAATCAGAAGAAAAGCTGCGTAAGAAAAACACGAGAAAAATTTCATTGCCGATAACCCGTGTGCAATCGTATCAGCTGTGTAAATGAATAAACGAAAATAACGTTTTCATGCATAATACATGTTGCATACTAAAATATACTTCAAACAAATGTACTTCATAGTATAAGAGTGTTTTCCCTTTTTTGTTCTTATGAGTGCAAACAGAAAAACGGGCGTTCCATTTAATCCCCTTCCTATGAAATATAATTTGTAACGATGGGGCGAATCTTCCACGCTATCGAAAATTGTTTTACCGGTCGATTTAAATAAATTACGACATCATCTTCAAGTAAAAGCGTCTGCAAAACAAAAAGGATCAGAGACCATGTCAGCATGGATATGTATATTTATCAACGATACGAATATGTTTGCCCTCATTAGGACTTTATGTGTGAATGACGTTATTAATTCTTAATCGTCACAGTGAGACATCTCGGAAAGTCAAATATTTATTTATCATGGAAAATTTATTTACCAGCAATTCTACTGTGCTCCCTGACTATTGATTAAAAAAGTTCTTATCGATCTTTCTGCGAAACGTAATCTTCAATGTCGGAGTTGTTTTATAAAAAGATTGAGCTTTACATAAAAAGTAACGATCTAAACGGTGCTCATAGTCGGACTGTATATTTAAGATCGTCTTAAGTTTATCTTCAGGTATTGTACGATCGTTTCATTGGCTACGAAGCAACTAAAGGTGAACTTAAGACGAGGTTCTAAAATCTTACTATGAATACTGACCTATAAACCTTCTGCGACATTCTCTAAATGTGCATTTCATTAAGTGTCAGTTACATTATATCGGTATTTTCTGATACTGATCTTTACGCTAAAATCATTCGTCATCGTACCGTTCGCTACAAAACGTAAAACAATATCACAATGAGCAATAGGAGTATGTTTATAAGAGTGAAAAATTAACCGATCGATTATTCTCCTTATGATTGGTCAATTTCTTACCCTTGCTTCTTATGAATATATCGTACCATTGTAGACTACGCTTTACATTTTCTCTCAAATCAATCACGTTCTAACTGAATAGTCACGAGACACCGGTTGACAGTCGCCGGCACGGTGAGCCACGTTAGCCGGGTCCGCACGAGGCGTGTTTCGTAAAGACACCTCTCCTGGGTGCTAGCAAAAGGGAGGGTGGTACGACTACTTGTGGAAGGGGCTCCGCGAGTGTGTATAGGATACACCGGGTAGAACGGAGCGAGAGTGCATCGAAGGCGAGGGAGCGAATGGGAAAAACGGACGGAAAGAGAGCGTGCGCGCGCGAGAGAGAGAAAGGGAGAGGGAGAGAAAGAGGGGGGCGAGAGAGGGGAGAGGTGAGGACGGAGGGAAAAGGAAGACGGAAGGGAACGAAGAAGAGTAAGGAGAGACGCAGATACGCGCCATTCTGCCGCCACCCATAACCTCAAAACTTACCTTTGTAAATGCGGGTCTCTACGATCTGTACGTCCTCGTCGGTGCTCTTGTCGCCCATCTTCTGCTGCTTCGTCTCGTTAGCCTGAATTTCCATACACATACTTCCACACGTGGGACCTCCGTCGCGACACGGTCACGATACCACCACCGCCGCCGCCGCCGTCGTCGTCGTCGCCGCTGCCGCCGCGCGCCCGTGACATTTACATCAAGTTGCTGCGTGCACGCGACGGGCCGAGCGCGTGTGCGCGCGAAAATTCGTACGCGCGCGACTAAAGAGCTGGTAGGAAGTGAGAGCCGTGACCGCCGTCGTCGCCACCGTGCCGACGTCTAGGTGCACGAGGACACTGGCGATAGAGTTGTACTTTCGCGTGCGCGTTGCTCTATCTTCAGCAATACTCCACGCTTTTGTTCCGGAAATGGAGTCGGAGAGGAAGTAGAGAGTGAGTGTGTGAACGCGCGTGCGTGTGTGTGGGGGAGAGAAAGACACGTATACACTAACAAAAACACGTTTCAACGCGATAAGTCACTAGCACACACCGTTGTTGCTGCTGAAGCGCGCGATGGTTTCCGCATCGGTGCGGTACATTTCACTCGTCCGCAGACGCGCATGCTGCGATCCTCTCTCGTTCGACGTTTTCTACTGTTTTACTACACGGAGACGGATTGAGAGAAAGAGAGAAAGAGAGAGATCGGGACCGGGGTACAGACCAGATTTGAATGTGGTGTACACGTTTGCCAGTTCTTTCTTCTACGCGTCACCCCGCGTAAGCCTCTCCCTTTCAGCGCCCCCCTCGTCCATTGGTCCTTATGTACTTAACGGTTGCGACGTTGCCGAACATCCGGTATCGTGTGACTAGTGGTGGGGAGACGCGGGATTTTATGAAGAGTGGGAGGTAATACATAAACGCCGGCAAACGCGTGGTGGGGAGATCATACATGGTATGAGTCGTGATATGGAGGGATTATATACACATATATATGTATATTATATATATACATATATATATTATATATGTATATACATATATATATATATATGTGTATACATATGTATGTACAAAAGGAGAGGGAAGCAACGGAATGAAAATTTTCCATGAGGTGACGTGGCAGCCGCGACCGTTATTTGGTCACGTGACATCGAAAATTGTAAGGGATAAGCGCCCTCTGCGTTTATATTATAGGCCATGATACGCTCTTCTCGAACTTTCCATATAGTCCTTTGTTATCTTATAGTTTTTTTTTGTTATCTCCGGAATGTTAAGTAGCGATCACAAAGTTTTCCCCTAGAATGGAAACATGAGAAATGAACATTCCCAAGTATTTTCAAGTTAGGAAATTTCACTTTTCACGCTACAGAAAAAGATCGACCCCTTCCTCTTTTTTTTTTTAGTTAATACAGTTTGATTAAAAAATAATCGTTTAATAATCGATTAAAAATTGATTTATTTATCGCGTATTAGAATATAAAATTTTTTTATTATCATATTTTATATATTACAGTCATTTTAACGTAAAATGCGTGTAATAGATATGTCACGTGACAAATCGTTGGAAACACTGAAGAACAACACAGGGAATTGTGACAATGAAAATAATTTATTATTGTGCTTATACGACTTATTGTAACACGCATTGTTCATCGGATGCACGTTGCGAAGAGTCTTCTATATCCTTGGTGGCTAAAAGCCCTTTGGTGCTTTCGGCTTCCTTCATCCATATTTGTACCTATTGACGAGAAATGTATAAATATATAATAAATAATTGAAAATCTGTGCACACGACATCCTCAGTCCTTCCAATTAATTTCAACATTTTCCAGCCGAATTTAGATAACCATTCATCGTAAGTATTGATTAAGAAGCTCAACATTACTTTTTGTATTGATTATTTGAAGTCATATAAATATCTAGAGAGGGTGCGTCTGTTAAACCGAGAGTATCTAAACTCTGAAACTGTGGAACGACGATCAATGTGTATATACACATTGACTCCAACTCCATATCGCTAAGATAACACACATTTAAAAATGTCCCGTAGATGTCCCTTACTGTAACACAATAATGCCTTAATCTTCCGGCAGCGTATTACTGCACTTAAAGGCCGACGACTGGCCACCTCGTGTAACATGTTCGCGCTGATACATTATAGAAGAATAGAATCCGTTTCCTCATATAGCTTTCTTATACATAGCGAGCAGATAAACAATACAGCAAAATCAAGCTTCACGCAGAGTATGTATTAACCGTTTGAGTGCCACTGATGGTCGCAAAATATAGTCGAAAAGCACCGGATGACACGATCGTATTTCCTGTTTTCTATCTGACGCTTCGGTTCTTCACTCACCCTTCATAAGAGAAGTTCGTAAAGATGACGCATGATAAATCCAGACGATATAAATATATGTATAAAGTCGGGACGTATGAAAAATGTCTTTAAGACGTCTCAAGTCGCGAACGGGCCACTTTGTGACGCCACAGAGAACAACAAAGTAGTTTGCCCGTGTTTAAATACGTCTTGTGTTTCGATTTTAGACATTATGTTGTCCAAGAAGTTTTCTGGCTTTGATAAAGCCTCTTCGAGTTGCACACTGACCGTATACTACACTCAGATAAAAACCCCAGCTTTCTTACTTTCTTACTACTTTTCGAGTGTATTTTTGTTTACCACGCCGGTATAGATTCCCATACAGCACAAACCAAAGGATAACTCAAAGACATCCAAAGAACGTCTCATGTTCTAAGAACGTCCCTTGGATAAAGTATGCTGGCACTTTTGAAACTGTACGGCACTTTGAAACTGTACGGAAACAGGCGATCATGCATTGCACTAAAACGTTTGAAAATGGACCAAAACGTGGACGCATGTATTCGATATAAATGAAGCGAATGTTACTGAGATCAGTGAGAAAGATATTCGGCACTATCCCGGCGGAAGTGTTAAGATAAGACCTCGATGCGTATAGAGCGCGAGTATTTTTCCATAAATAAGCGGTTACACTGGCAACATTCCCACTCAAAATTGTTTCTCTCTCTCTGGCGTGCGTACTATCATTCACAGACCGCCGAATGTCGCGCAATTAGCCCGTGTTTTTCGGCAGAATTCTCTTACAAGTTTCTTCGCGCTCGCTTCGCCGTTTGGTACTGACACGCGCGGCGACAAGCGGACAATCTAAATGCCCGAATCCTCCCTCCGTTTTCAATGACGAAACAGACCATCACCCGCGCGCAAGTCGCCGGCTGGACCGGGCGAGACAATTGCGAGTCGCTCGATTGGCTCGCGTCCACCGTTAAAATACGTGTACTACGATCGATTGTAAATCACCTGTTTGTGTAGTAAATCCCGTCTCCGTCCTGACGGTTCCTTGCCCAGCAGGGGCACCAGCACGCTCAGACACGACTGAAATTTTTCCAGGGCGAGAGCATAGTTACCCTCAGCAAGGTATTGTTCAGCGACCTCTCCTATTTCGAGTGCGTCTGTCATACCCGTGGTACTCTTACTAAGGAGTCCTACCGACAAACAGATTGTTTCACGGCCACCGTTAATAATTGATGAGTTTACCATGGTGCGTGATCTCGTATTGCGACGGTATCGAAAATTGATGCGCGCAATCGAAAAACACGATCGACGATATAGGGCATTTCCTTTCAACAAGGAAACACGGAGAGAAACTATATCACAATTGAACACGGTGCACGGGTGTTTGATGGGACACTTGAATTTTCGAAACAGTCACTAATTAACGATAATGTGCTAGAGATGTTAACAAATGTTACATATAATGTTTTCGAATGAAATAGGTTTTGATCGCCCCAGGAACGATTAGTAGTGTCATAAAGTCTCTAATAGCCAATTATAAAACTTCGAATATCATTAATCATATTCCTAGAACGATTCACATAAATCTACTTTAACTACCTTAAAAGTTGAGAAAGTAACGATATAATACAAACGCAATTCATTGTATGCGAACGCTGTGCTCCTCTCTGAGAATAACGCCCTTTGCAGGGAAGTGCCTGCCTTGCCCTCAGCCGACGATCGCTTATCCTGTCCGTCCACGAACACCATTTTCAATGTTTCTGCTCGTCTTATGTAATCGTTTACACGCTGTCGTAATATTTCCTTTCGCTTTGGATCGCTTTCATCTAATTGAACGATGCACAAATAATATAAATAACGATTCATTCGTTGTGCATACGTGTGTGTGTGTGTGTGTGATTTACATGAAAATTATTTTAGTCGAGAAATCGATCGTGTTTAAAAACATGCTGAATGTCGCACGAATAGCGGCTCTTACTGGTCAAAATTGGGATGAAATATCTTAGGGCCTCGCAGTAGAGATAAAATGCTTCCTTTAAATTCCTCTCGGCGTCCGCTCCGACGGCTTTATGTACCAACGCCACCGCTTTATCGTAATTTTCTCTGGTAGGCGCGTGCTCCAAGTCCAAAAAGTCATGAGCGAAAAATCCATCGTACGTTATCCGATCGGCGGGATTATGCTTGAGCAAAGCCATCAGTAAATCCTTACATGTGGCCGACACATGAGCCGCCTTCGGCATCTACAGTGAATAATTTGTCGATGACTCATGATTAAAGAATTATGTTAAAAATTGTAACGCAAATTAATATGCATATAGTCTTGACGCGCGCGCGACGACGGCGGCGGTTGTCGATCGAGTTGACCATCCACACAGCACACTTTGTCCGAGGGACGTTCCGTTTTTAGGGACGTCTTCTGGACGTCTTCAGGAACGTCCCTTGGAGATCTGTGTTACATGGATAGTTTTTAGACTTCGAGTCTATTTCGCGCGATCGCAAAAGCCAATAATTTCGTGAGAATCGAGGCGAAAATTTCGAAACTGCGCAGCACGATCGTAAAAGTTAGGGGGAGGAAAATGGCAAGAAAAAAGAAAACTAAGAAAACGGGAGAAACTAAATAAATAATTAATGTGTAATCTTTCTTTGTAATCTTCTTCTTTGTGAATAAACTAGACTAGATCTTGCGAGCTTTTAGAAAAGTAGCGATAAGATAAATATTATCGACGGACCTCGATAGGTCGGCAGTCTTTGATCTTTTCCGCAAGTTCCTGGAAACTACTGCTAGAATAGGGAGCTTTTCCGAAAAGGCACTCGTACATAATCACACCTACGCTCCACAGGTCGACACGGGCATCGTACTTGTGCTTCAGCAGCATCTCGGGCGCCATGTAAAGCGGCGAGCCGCGTATCGCGAACTTGTGTTCCGAATTCGTGAGGTATTGCGCGAAACCAAAATCTGAAAAGGCGATTAACAGACACCGTGACGATTCATCCTGCCGAAGAGACCTCGCGAGTTCCTTGCGAAAAGAGAGACAGCGGGGGAGACTACCAACCTCCAACCTTGAGCACCAGCCGGGGTTTTTTCATCAGCAGCAAGTTCTGCGGCTTGAGATCCATGTGACAGACATTGTGATCGCGCAGATATCGCAACGCCAATGCGAGCTGTTGCAGAAATCTGCGGCAAATGTTCTCGGGCAATCGGCGCTGTTTCTTTATGAAACTTGACAAGTCCCCACCGTCGCAGTATTCCATCACGATATATATATGCCTATATTTATACACACTTATTGCTATCTTTTTCCAGGAGAAAGAAGCGTGATAGTTTACATAACGTGAAAGTGCAATCTCCTATCAGATTGCGCGTCTGCGTTAACTCTCGTCGATGACTGCGAGATAGGGTCGGCAAAATTCCAGAATTTTTCGATAAAGTCCACGCCAGTGGTAAGATCTGGTAACTTCCGGAAAGAAACTGGCAAAATCTGGTCTTTTCTATTAAAAACGATAAAATAAATAAAAATCCTTTTTATATGAATATTCTAATTCACGGACAAACCGAGGTTTTAGCTGTGATCCTCCGCGTAACAATCTGGATATCGATCGTGGAATTTTTCTCTAAGGTGGAAATGTAAAAAGTGAAAATTCCAAATATTTTCAAACCAGAAAATTGATTTTTCTTTCACAAGGAGGCTTAATCATTCTACCATTTCGTTTGAAGAATGTATTGGTCCGGGGGCCCGAACGAATCACTGACAGTCAATTTTTTCAGATTTTATAACGACGAACAATGTTTTGAAACCTCGACTTGCTGTTTTGGAATCTCACTATACAGAGTGTCCCCCAGGAGGAAAAGTCAATATTCTGGGAGATCATAGTATCGGTCATTTTTAACAAAAATGTTTTTATGAAGTGTGTGTATCTTAATTGGTCTAGTTTCAGAGATATTAGCGATTGAAAATGTCTAAAGTTTTCTTTAATTAATAACTCAAAAATTTGCGTGTTAATTGCAAAATAATGAAGAACTTATTTTACTCAGAGAGTGGCCTAATCTATACGACAGTTATTGTACCTAATGTAACGATGGACATCATATATTAGGCCTTTTTTACAGTTTTTGCCAGTTTATTCCATCGGATAAAGTCTAGGACAGGAAAAATCGAGGTTTACCGCGGTTTTTTCCACCTACTGGAATTTTCCGGCGAACCCCCGCGAGAGGTTATTATTATTGCATAGTATCTCGTAAGGTCTCATGTCAACGAACCCTTCGTCCCAGAAAAAGTCTCTCATCTCTACGATATGCTCGTGCTTGAGGACATTTAACAGCTTGATCTCCGTCACGAGATTGTCGATCGCCGATTTCGAGAGTGAACCTTTATCCACGCACTTGATTGCAACTATCTCCCGACTCCCGCCCTGCAAGCCGATCATCGAAAAGGCCGATAACGACTTTGGAAATGCGAGATGCAAGTGCATTTTCATGGGAGAACGTCAAACTTGAGAACGATAGTATCACTTACGCTGATATTTTTTCTGGAAAATACACGTCGTATCGGTCGCACAGAATTGTAAAAGCTTTTACAAAGTACGCGCGAAAATAAATTAAAACATTGCTCGATGTGTGATGAGAATGATAAAAATGGTCTTAAAAATTTATGAGAGTATTTATATTAGAATTACGCAATACTGCTCTCTTTTTTGCATTGAAAAAACCTAGTGGCTTTAAGTAGACTTTTCTGTGCGGTAAATATTTTCTAAAGAGAAATTCGTATATTCTCAATATTACGAATTTAATACTCGTCACACAATTGTTTTAACATATACAAACAAATGTCTACTTATATGAAGAAAATATCATATATTGTACATAATTAATACTAGTAAAAATGCCTCTAAAAGTGGCTTGGGGATTAGCTGATTGGTTAAGAAGTCACGCTTTAAGACAGTTTTACCGATGAAAGAGTGTTGAGAATACGGGTCATCATGATTTTGTGCCCCTAGCGTTCTCTTTTCCTCGCGCGTAGGCCACGCGAGCGAGAGAAAACGCGAAGGGCACAAAACAGGGTGCATCCTTTTCTACGTGCACCCTCAAATAAACCCTCGATCTGAAAATGTCTATGATATACGCAACATGAACGGTGGACACTTTCAGTGAACTGACTCTGATGAATATCGGAGCGCATTCTGTACGTGTGATAAGATCCACGTCGCATAAAAAAATACAAGTAATTAAATGTAAGCGGTATGCAAATTAACCAATCACAGGTGATTATTCTTCGGCAGTATCGGGAATGATCGACTGTGATTGGTCAATTTGTTTACTACTTCCGTTCTTCTGTGTTCCACACATCGGCAACGTAAATAAACGCATGCTTGCCGCGATCCTGCCGCTCGATACCACGCCATTTCCGACTCGAACCTCAAATGTGCAACGCACGTACCTTCTTGAATGCTTTGTACACGCTCGCATAGCTCCCGGTGCCGATCTTCTCCAGCAGGCAATAATCACTCACGGTCGGTAGGCTCATTTTCCTCGCGGGACGATTCAATCTTTCCGCGACATTTGTGCCGGCACGCCGTAAAGTAGCGAGGGGTTAATGTGTATAGTTGACGCTACAGCACGCGCCGCTCGTGCGCACTGAAGTGCTCCGACATAGACGTGATCACGTGTCATCAAGATAAAAACTACGTCTTGCGGACGAATCTGGAGGTAAATCATATTGAATAAATTGACCTTTTGTGTAATTTTCCAGAGCGCTGGCCACTGTCACGAGCCAGTCACCTTTGGAACAGCTTTTCAGAACAAAAGACGCGTAGAATCGCGGACCACGTGGAATCGAGCCCGCTCTCATTCACTCTCCTTCTCTCTCTCTCTCTCTCATTACACGAACTAATCACAAGTATGTTCCTTCCTTTTCGTGGCGAACAAACCCTCAAGATTCAAAGTTCAAGTATCTCGACGCGGCAACAACGCACTTTAGAACGTTTTTGTAGGTCCGTTTGTTTTAACTGAACTAGGGTTGCACTGGAACTTCGTTCCTTTTCTCTTCACGCTAATTTATACACTTGTTTAACTCTAAAGGCAAAAAGTGCAATCTAATTCTGCTAAAACAATTTCGTGGGTACAATGCACAGTGATCAGATAGAGAGAGAGAGGGGGGGGGGNGGAGGAGAGAGCGGGAGAAGCTTGTGGCGCGCCAATAAGCGTCGCAGGGACAAATTTTCTGGAAAGCACAGTGCGATCTGAAAGCTCGCATCCGCGCGATCTCATCGCGCCGAGGACAGATTTGTCGCGATCCGATCATCAGCTGCGTGCGCGCGCGGTACATACGCTGACTCGACGGCGCAGGGACGCAAGCTGGCCGGCGGAACGACGCGACGTGTGTGCATGCGTGCTTCGCAGTTCGGCACTATCCGTTCATTCTCCGCGCGACGTAGGATATATCTCGCGAATTTCGCCGTCCCTTCCGAACTCGTTGCCGGTGTCCACGGTTCTTCCCCCTGGTTCGACGACGGTGGCGACGGGAGGAAACGACGGCGCGTTCGATCGTCGAGGGACACCCGATGCGTCGTCGCCACGGACGTGGCAGCAGTGCTCGGGCTATAGACTCGCGCTCTCCCGAGGTTTTCTTTCATGGCAAACGGTGTGTCCGACTCGTAACGCCGCGTACCGACCGCATCGCCGTTGCAATGGGCGAGAACGAACGCGCGCATGATAACGCGATAACATGGCCTCGTAGCTCTGTGCTGTGGTGGTGCTCGTGAGTGGAAACGTTTCGCGACGAATACACGGAGAGGAGCACTGGGAGAGGGACACTCTCTCCTCACCTGCAGCGCATTGCTCTTCCTTTGTCTCTGACGTGATAGAGGACGTTTCGACAACAAGGACGATGATCGCGTCGCGCTAATCGTGTGTAATTTTACTATTCCCGATTCGTTCGTCGCTGCGTGCGCGCGCGCGGGCTTCGCCCGCAAAATCGCTCGTTACGATTGCCAAGCGAAATATCGGGTCGCCAACGCACTCTTTCCGTCTCTCTCTCTCTCTCCCGACGTTTCTTTCATCGCGCGCACGACACACTGCATCGTGGTATGCCTCATCATTCCCTGGATCGAAAGTCACTCGCTTTTCAAGCTTATGCGATTAAGATTGAAATCATACGAGTAACTCTAATTATAAAGGCAAGCATACAATGGCTTTGATTACAACGGCCCCGACCTTGGGTTTATTCGTGTGAGGCTGGAAATCGTCCACAATTTTCGAGACATGAGAATGGTGAAGCGTACATGACACACTGTGTGTGTGTGCAAGCACAGCGGCGGGATCAAGCCGTGTGAGATGTCGAATCCTTCCCTCGAGGTTTATTATAGCGCTGGTGCACTGGTTATCGAATCCGAGTTGCAATATACACTCGTCCTTGTGCGGCCGCGATATTTATATCGGACGAAAAATCCTAGTCTTTCGATCGCGTCCGCTTTTAGGAGCGCGCAACCGTGTAGTAACATGCACACATGCTTGTGTTGTGTATGTATGTGAGAGAGAGAGAGAGAGACAATCTGTCAAGGTGGGACGGACGCAAGAGTGGCCTCGACGAAACTGAAACCTCGCGACGTAAAATATCAATCCCGCGAGCATGCGTTGTTAATAATCCGTCGCCCATTCGGCGACAGTACCGTCGGCTGTCGGTTTAGCAGTTGTATCTCTGTACGCCGTGACATTAGCTGTCAGTGCGTCAGCTGCCGGAGTGTCCGTTTCGGATGTTTTGGCAGCTGATTTCGTCCTCTTTCTCGTCCTGTAACAGAAACGTCTGAAAATTCCGCGAGCCTCTGTACATACTGCTGAAAGAGAGAGAGAGAGAGAGAGACGCGATCGCGGGAGTCGGTCGTCGCGAAGGTGACGCGGGACCGTCCGCGCTTTATTCGGGGAAGTATCAAGGAACGGTGACGTCATGTACTGAAACATAAGCTGTTTTCACCTCGTTCCGTCGTAGCATCTCGCAAATCGCAGGTGCAAGTGAGGTCGGGTTCTCGGGATCGCAAATTACACCTCGTCGGGACCGTCGAATTGAAGGGATCCTTAAAGTAAATTCCGCCGGATAATTGTGTGTACGTATCGCCGCGATTGGTACGCGAGTTTGTGCACGCATCGATACAGTAATAACCTTGTTGTAATGTGCATGTGTTAATGTTAATGTGTGCTCTTGTGTATTAGCATATCAGTCGTAAACGAGAGAATTAATCGAGCAGCGCGAGCCGACGAAGACTCTCGCATCGAATGCTACGCATATTGATACGACGCATACATTGACCAGGGAGAAGCACCAGTGTGAGAACTGTTTTGCGCGACAATGGATTCGGAAGAGGAAACGATTTACGACGATGTCGACTCCGGTAACGAGTCGAGCGGCGATGATGTTGACTTTGCCATGGAAATAGAACCTGGTAATCCGCGTGAACGAGCCACCGATGTCGATGACTATCCCTTCGAAGTGCTTTCCACAGAAGAGATTGTGCAACACATGGTTGATTCAATAAAGGAAGTCAACACGGTTGTTGAAGTAAGCAATGCGAGCTCTTAAATTGTTGTTCCTGAATGGGATAAACATACTACGTGTGTGTTAATCTGCAGATACCAGCAACGACCACACGTATTTTATTAAATCACTTCAAGTGGGATAAGGAGAAGTTGATGGAGCGCTTTTATGATGGCGATCAAGAGAAGCTTTTCGCCGAAGCACGTGTTATCAATCCATTCAGAAAAGGTCCTTTAATAAGTAGAAGTCGATCTTCCCAAAGCTCTTTGGTAAATACTTATTTCAACTGCATCACTCTTTTCTCATTAAACACAGATCAGGAAAATTATATTACATATTATATATATATTGTATAGTATATGTTGTATATTTTTGTTTGTCTAATAGTCTAAAAGAACGTCGACAAATGGCACAGAAGAGTGCGGAATTTGTTTTATGATCCTCCCATCCTCGGTAAGTTTATATTGATATAACGTGTTAAAAAAGTGTATATATAGAGAAGCGAAGATATGATGGAAAAATTTGTTTAAAATGTTAGATGATGACTGGTCTCGAATGCGGGCATCGTTTCTGCACCGGTTGCTGGGGAGAATATTTGACGACTAAAATTATGGAGGAAGGAGTTGGACAAACTATTGCATGTGCTGCTCATGCTTGTGACATCTTAGTTGATGATGCTAGTGTTATGCGGCTTGTCAAAGATTCCAAAGTTAAACTGAAGTATCAGCACTTAATTACCAATAGCTTTGTTGAAGTAAATATTCGTTGATGATTATCCATTTATAAGATATTGCAAAGTATACGCACTTGTTACATTTTTCTTCCTTTTAAGTGTAATAGGTTACTAAGATGGTGTCCCTCCCCCGATTGTAATAACGCTGTTAAAGTGCAGTATGTAGAATCAAGACCGGTTACTTGTAAATGTGGACATACATTCTGCTTTTATTGCGGCGAAAACTGGCATGACCCTGTCAAGTGCCATTTACTTCGTAAATGGATTAAAAAGTGCGATGACGACTCGGAAACGTCAAACTGGATCGCTGCTAACACAAAGGAATGCCCGAAGTGTAATGTTACCATCGAGAAAGATGGCGGATGTAATCATATGGTCTGTAAGAATCAGAATTGTAAAACTGAATTTTGTTGGGTTTGCCTCGGGCCCTGGGAACCACACGGCTCTAGCTGGTATAATTGTAATCGTTACGACGAAGAAGAAGCTAAAGTAGCAAGGGATGCGCAAGAAAAGTCCAGATCAGCTTTGCAGAGATATTTATTTTATTGCAATAGATACATGAATCACATGCAATCGCTCAAATTTGAGAGTAAACTGTATGCCAGCGTGAAGGAAAAAATGGAAGAGATGCAACAGCATAACATGTCATGGATAGAGGTATATTAATATGATAACAAGTAATAATATATAGTGAGATTTTTCTCGAATTCAATACTAATTTTTTTCGTAATCACTATTCTTCATATTTTTCAGGTACAATTCTTAAAGAAAGCGGTTGACATTCTGTGTTCATGTAGGCAGACACTTATGTACACCTACGTTTTTGCTTATTACGTGAGAAAGAACAATCAATCTGTGATTTTTGAGGATAACCAAAAAGATTTGGAAAGTGCCACCGAGTGTCTATCTGAATATCTTGAAAGGGATATCACAAGTGAAAATCTTGCAGATATTAAACAAAAGGTTCAGGATAAATATAGGTAAGATAGTAGAAGTATATATATATATATATATATATATATATATCTGTGTGTGTGTTTACTGCTAGGTAAACAATATATTTTATTTGCAATCATTTTTATATATTATTTGCTTTTTAAGATACTGCGATAGTCGAAGGAAAGTACTTTTAGAACATGTCTATGAAGGATACGAGAAGGAATGGTGGGACTACAAGGAATAGAGAATTTTTACTAGTTTTACTTCTTGGGGTGTGACACACAAATCCTCTTCCTTCCCACTTCTGCCCCAGCTGTGATAAACTAAGAAAACTAACAAGAGACAGAAATGGAGCATGTCACAAAGTGATAAACGTTATATGCACTTTAAAACACATATAATATAGTTTGTGGCGACACGCATAACATCGTTTATGATAAATATTGAGAACTCGACCTATTAAAATTCAATCAGATTATCAACAAGTTGACAATATTTTGATTTGTGCTTGCTGTGTGCTGTTCATTATTGTACAGGTTCTTATCCTTGATAAGTATCCCATTGTTTTAAGTAATTTTAAGAATATTTGTTATATTAACACGAACAACAAGCGTCATTAGATTCAGCAATATGTTGCGATGTAGAATGGGATCTCGGCTACAAAATTCGTTATTTTATTCGACATATTTCACCAGCTTTTATCAGTAACACATCAGGATTTTTTTGCATTTTATAAGTTTGTTCTGTATCTCATTATTTAAAAAAGTAGCTATTTTAGATGTAAACATCCCAAATGAATCAGGTACAACCAAGACGAATCATCTTCACTGTTTTGCTCTGTTTTGGACCACGATACGTCCAGGCTACAACTGCCAATCTTTAAGAGACACTAAATTACTATATACGTATCGTCAGTGCTATGTATTAATCTTTAATGATAGAACTTCCTATTCTTGCTTGTGTATTGCTTCGAACAAAGTATATATACTTAAATATAGAACATCTTGCTAGATAGTGAAACTGTAATACAACACGTTCTGTTTTTTTATCCTATTTATATTTGTTTCACAAATCTCTCTGTCTCTCTCTCTCTCTCTCTCTCTTTCTCTCTCTCTCTCTTTCCCCCCACAGTTTTATAAATGAAGTGTTACTTAGTTACTCATACTGACGTCACGCAACGTTAAAAGGGGCCAAGTTTGTGATATCTTTGACATGCACCATACTCCATCTTTACATGTTAAATTAGAACACTGTGGTTGTCAAGCATTACAAAAAAATACACCACTTTTTTTTTTTTTTTTGAAGAAATTGGGTTGTTATAAGTGCTGAATCGCAAAATTTGTCTTTGATATAGCTTACAGTTATTTAATCCTTTCGTTACTAAGAGCAACTACAGTCGCCCGGCCCATAACAATCACACGGTGTTATTTTACTCATGCCGATGCAGTATATTAGTTGATATAACACAAATACTGCATGTGCAATCTTGTTTACATCACGTTAGACGCCGCTTGGGCATCTGTACTATAAGGTGGTTTTTCAGGACTCTGCCGTAACGAAAGGGTTAAACGCGAATCTAATATGCTGCATATAATTTGCAAATATAATATCCTGTTCGTAATAGTGTTCCTTGGAATATTTTGTATGGTAGCATCGATGAAGATAATGATTATAATCCTACGTGAATTTTATATATTCAGATATTTTTAATATTTTAATTGTATTTTTAATTCATGGCTTAGTCTTTATCTACCTTTTTATTTTATTTGCTCTCTTGTTTTATTTAATCTGCTTATACAAACCATTTGCATAACGCTGACGATATGTTTTATATAACATTAGCTAACTAATTAAAGATTGACGATTAAAATGAAATTATCACTTATTGTCAATGTAAGTGGTAGATGAAGTGAGTTCCATTTGTACAGTTAACATAGTTATATATTCACATATAAATATATAATAAAAATAAATATAGTAATATCAATAATGATAAAGTAAAAAAGTAGAGAATTTTGAAGATTTATTGAGCGAGAATTGTTAATCCTTGCTATTATGCACATTAGGGTCTGCGATAAAAGTTAAAATGCAGTTGTTTTCTGTACAGTCGCAAAATTTGATTAGAAAGAGATAAATGTAAGAAAATTGTTAGATATAATCGTCACGTGTTCTGCTCTAGTTTGTGATTTTATATATTCTACCTTCATTTAATTTGTAAATTACAACAGCATATTCGAAATCCTCTTTGCAATACCGATAAAAATGAAATCTGAGTATCCAAAATTTCTTGTACACGAACCAAACTTGAGACTTTGAACGGTGTCCTCGAATTTGCGAGGCGTAGTGCGTGGCGGGTATAAAAATTGGAACATTTAGCTGTCAAGTCATCAAACATATCTGAGAAGGCGCTACTACAACTGGTGATGCGAGCTTTTAATTGCATTTTGACATAGGTTGCAAACTCGTGTCAAAGACTTCTCCATCCATTCGTCTTTGGTATATGCATATATATATATATATATATATATATATATATATATATGTATGTATATGTATATTCATGAATATTTGATAAATGGCAAAACCTACGCGATAACAAGATAAACTATTTTAGTAGTATAGTATAGGAAAACTGTGGCTTTACTTTTGTAGTTATAAACCGATATCACACACTGTCATCTCCGTGAGATATCTAGATAGATTTCTCATCATTGTTCGGTGTTGTCTTTTGTTAACATTACAAATGCATAATATATATTGTAAATACTACAATATATATATTGTAAATCTTAAAAATTATATAGAACTTGGTAACCTTAACGAGTATAAAAGTACGAGATTTTGAGATGCTGAAAAATGACGATTAATATATTTCCTTGACAGAACTGTACCCCCCTTTCTTTGGTTAAGAAATAAAGAGACGCAAGTTATCCCCTTAGAGAGCATCCTCTATTATATATTATATTATATATACTCACTACATTAGCCGTGTATCCAAAATGTTTATACATATAACTAAAATTGTTCACAATTGTGAAAATCAATAAGCTCGAAATATTTTTAATAAGCATATAGAATGTAACCTTGTTTAAGTGGTTAAGTTATTTTCAATAAAATCATCAGTGTGCGCGCGAATGAGATAAATTAATAATTACGCCACTCGGAAAACTACTGGTCTGTACACAACATATCTTATGGAAGAGAGTTACTTATTTTCGAGCGTACAAACATACGGTAAACATAGTATCGAATATCAATGTTCTTTTTATTCTTAGTTAATTGATACTTTAGATTACATAGATATGGTTAAGAGGATTATGTTTATTGCAGTGGGGGAATAATATTTATCTTATGTGAAGTTATTATTTTTGATTATTTTGCGAACGTATATACATTAGAAGTACGTCGTTTACAGTATTTCGTAGTGGTTAAGACTGATCCTCTCTGACGTAATGCAACAGTATCTTAAGATTTATCGCTTATAATTTATAATGACATATTAAAAATGCTCCTCTATATTGACTCAAGGTCGTATTTCTCCAAGTCTTTCCAGGAAACAAACTTACATTATGTATCAATACAAGCCTCCGTATTACTTTACGAACGTTTATTTGCAGTAAGTGTGAACGTTTCTCATAAAATTATGCTCAAATTTTCACAATAGTAACATACGCTCTACCCTGTGAATTTCCATTGATAGTAGTATTTGATAGTGTTTTGCATGTGAAAAAATTACTAAATTTAGATCGATAAACTCTACTATTCAGCAGATTATCTTCTTACAATCTCATTTTTCCTCGTTTCGATAATGATTATACGAATAGTTCGTTATTTTGCAAAAGTATTTATTCTGAATATGTGTATAAAAATTTTTGCAAGTGCAGTTGGGATATACCAACGTATAAGAAAGTAGCCTATCACGGTACATTTCATAATCATTCGTTATCGGTATTACATATATCTCTTAAAGTTTAAGAATCTGTGCGATCAGTTCTGACCCCAAACGTGTTTGAAAGAAAATTTATTATTTAATGTAATATATCTCCTATCTAACATACATATAATATACATATAAATTATAAATAAATAGATTACGTCTACCTAAATTCAATAGAATTTCGAGATTCTCCGTTTCATATAGAGCTCTAAAGCGACAATTTTGAGTATTATTGTTAAAAATTACTTCAATATAAAATATCTATTATGTAAAATTAAATAAGATATTCTGCCTACTAATTTCACTAGTTCTTTTTTTTTTCTTTTTTTATAAGGTATTGTAATAGGAAACTAGCGTCATTGTCTGTCGCTCATACTATGTATGTATTGGCTGGAGTTATATAAAATGTGGGACGATTCTAAGCCGAGTGACATTGATATGAAAATTATGTGTGTCAACGCGTTGAAGTATCTTTTGTTAATCTCGTATATTGCCCGATAGACAGTGGCGAGTACACCATTTGGATCGTTCCGATGTCCACGTTGAAATGTTGTAATAGTACGTTATACGAATCTCCTCATATTCCTCTCGAGCGTGTTCCCGTAGAACGTAAGTACGCGAAGATTTCTTGGACGAGACGCACTCAGGCCGCACGATCTCGCGAGATCCCATCAGGAAGTTACCGACAAGATCGTGGCGATTAAACCGAGGGTGGCTCCAGTCATCAACAGACTTCTCCAAATCGCCCCACTGACCTCATCCGCCACTGGATACTCTATGCACAACTGCTCCTGCAAACACACAAGGTAGACATGTATGCTTCGTGCGAAAAGTATCCTTCGAAAACACCCGTGTGTACTCACCCACCCACCGTAGCCTTTGATGAAATGCGCCATGTTCTCGCCGACGTATCTCGAAACGTACAGTGGTAGCTTCTTCTTAAGAGTGTGCATTCTCTTATCTCGGGCCCATAAGGCTAATCTGCCCATGAAAGCGTACAGACAAACAATCTTGGCCCATGTGATGACGCCATGCAGGAAGAGTTCGTTGGCGACTCCCATAAATGCCTCGTATGCGGTGTCCGGTACAACGTTCAAACGGTTCACCATACTTGCAAAGAGGATGCTGTGCTTGTTGAGCATCTGATAAACGTTGTGCCTCATACTGCGCGATATCGGGTCCCGAGATATAAGATAGATATCCTCCTTCAACAAGTACCGCATCACATCGTTAGCCAGGCTCTCCGCGGTCGACTCGATGGAATCCTCGTGGATATCGTATCGTAGGGGTGGGGCCAATTGCGGGAAGAGATATTGCAGCCGAATCTGAAAAAGTCTCATTGTAAGAGACGAGCACAGTGTTCCGCTGTGTACGTCACAGATATACGTCGGCGCGAAGTCGCACGAGAGAGAAAGAGAGAGAGATTCAACGATCGCGAAGACGCGCTTGATGTGAATTTCAACGAATCGATGCTTGACATTTGACAATGGTGCGACAGCTCCGCGCGGTGTAGAACGGAACACGAAAAAAATATATATATATATATGTATATACGATACCTGGCAAATTTCGAAGAAAGACATAGCGCGGTTAGTAGTACCGACCGCATATCGGCAGACACCGTCTTCGTCGTCGTCGGCGGCTCGCTCGTTCGACGACGAATTCCTGTTACCGGGGGGATCGCATTCCAGAATGCCGCCCACTCTGGAATGCAGTTCCCCCCGCGCCGAGGCACCGTGCCCCTCTCCGCCCTCCGCGCCAACGATCCCATTGTTCATCACGGTTCCGTCGTCGCCGGCCATCCTGGAGTCGGAACACGCGAGGGAGATGTCTCCTTCCGAGTCTTCTATCCAGGTCGTCGTACGGTCCTTATCGTCTCCGCCGTTGCGTCGTGACACACACGCGTCGCTCTCTCTCTCTCTCTCTTTCTCTCTCTTTCTCTCTCTCTCACATTTCGCGCTAGTCTCCGGAATCGTCGTGAATCGATCGACGAGCCGGATAAACGAGCGCGCGGCCCTCGAAAAACTTGAACCGACCGACGAACAGCCTGCCGACGAAACACTCCGCTCTCTACTTTCCCGCGGCCATTTCCGAAGCCGATGTCGAGAAGCCGAAACCGCGCTGTTCCCTCCTCTCTCGCTCCGCGCGTCGCACCTAACTCTCCCGTACCGCTCCCTGGCCTGCCGATGCCGCCAACCAGTCGACTCACCGAATGTTTTACATCACCACCACTACCGCTTATCTCTACCCCACCGCGCGCCGCGTAGTGCCGGTGACGTAGCTTAGCGGTGCTCGAACACTTTCCGCTGCTCCGGATAGATGGCAATTGCTCACCGACACTCTGTGCACGATCTCACGGGGATGTTCACGCCGATTCGTCGTGCCGTCCGCACGAATCCAGATAGAAGAGAAAATTGCGCCGATGTCGAAGTGACGTCGACGTGAACGAGAGAGGATGATGAGAATCGAGAGAGATTTTACAGTCCCCCGTCACTTTCCTCGTCACTCCTCACGTCACTCCGTCCGTTCCAGCTGGATCGAACGGGCTTGAGAGCCGCTGGAACGCCGAGTCGACCCCGCACTCACACCATCGCAGCGCGTGCTACACCTTTGCACACCACCGTGCAGACTCTCTATGGATCATTCACGTTTTCTCCCCACCAGAGCGCCGCCCCGACACGTGCACCATGTGCATACACGCGCGGCGCGCGGTGTGTTGGTGTCGCCGTCTCTCTCTCTCTCTCTCTCTCCCGCACCCGCTCGTCTCCGAGGCGCCGCCGATAACCCTTTCTAGCGCGCGCTCTCACGCACGTGCGCGAGCGAGCGGATTATCTGTGTGTGAACGGAGCGGAGGAACGGAATTTTCGATGGAACGCGGAGTTCCTCCGTGAGATGAAGCGCACACCTCTCGCATGGATTCGCGTAAGGCGACCGGGCGTAAGTTTTAACGAGCGTCTTTAAATGCATCTTGATCGAGACTCGCAGGGAGAGAGAGAGAGAGAGAGAGAGGGAAAGAGCGCCCTCCGAGAGAAAATTCCTCGGATTAATGGAGATTCCTGGTCATATAGGTCATTCGTTACCGCGATGTCAGTGAGACATATCCGGGAACTGTGTAGAATTGCTTTCAGATACTACCGTGATATTAATATTTCCCTTCGTATGAGTCGCTCATTCGTGCCCCGCCGCCGCCGCCATTGGGAAATTCGTATTCATTCAACTTTTCCGCGCTTGGAATTCCTGAGAGAATTGCGCGACTGGCCGCTCGCGCGAGATGCAGTGTCAGCCGGTGAGTATTAACGCGGGGAACGGTGAAAGTCTCGGTCTTAACTACTAACACGTAAATGATCGGAGACAAAATCATCCGCAGGCTCGACTGAGATCCACGAATCGGTGTCTCCGAGTCAGTTTCGCAGAGAGCTGCGGCGGTAATATGTACTTTGGAGCGATCTTCTTTGCCCCCGATATCGCGAGACATAACGCAGTGGAATTAAATGTAGGGAATTAGGGATTGGAAATTAAATCTCGATATATGTGGTCCAACTGTGCTTCAATCCACAATAAAGAACTAGAGAGCTAGGATTAGGAACGTTGTTGAAATTCTATTCCTTGTCATTTGTGCGCTTATGGGGCTTAGTGGTTGATTGAAATTCGAGGTGTCTAATGATCGTCAATATAATAAATATAAATGAAAGTCAGTTTGAACCCATCTATAATTACCAGGAAAACGATGAAAGTATCAAAGATAGTATCAATTGAGGTATATAAGAAAATAGTAAAAATGGTGATCTCATTTTTTAATGTTCTCATGTCTTGTCTCTTGTGTTTTAAACTAATAATAACTTATTTATAATATCTTATTTAACTATGCATATATTTAATTTCTTATTCCTTCCTTAGTAGCAAACTTTACTGGCGTTACATTGGTTCAACATTGGCCAACATTGACCAATGTTGAGCCAATTATGTACGTTACTAGGGTTACTCTTTCCATTGCATTTGAACGGAAAATGACATCAAAATAATGAGAAAATAATTCACTTTTCGATCATCATTCGATCATTTTTTCATCATTTTAATGTCATTTTCACGTTATCGCGACTTTCTGTTCCACCTGGCATCAACTAAGACATGAACTCGCGAGAAGTGACAATGTTTCAATTTGAAAACGTTTGAAAATTACTTTTACCTTTCACGAGTTCACGCTAGAAGAAAAGAATCATGATCGCTGCACACACAAGGCCTCAGCTCAAACAATACTGTATTGCTCCGTTCCTTTTCCCTTTAACGCTAGATTGTGTTTCACTTTAAATGCAGAAACTTAGTTCAGTTAAAAAGGGACCGACCTATGACAGGAGAGGAAATGACTAGGAAAACTCACTTCTCGATTATCTCTCATTTTGACGTCACTTTGACGTCATCGTCACTTTCTGTTCTACCGGGGGTTTGACTCCGGGATTGACGGGGATAAATCCGCGGACAATGAGACGACGTGGGGCATATTCAGCAAATACTGCACGCGGCCGGCGGTGCCACAGTGCATTTCCACGAAAGGATTATTCTGAAACTGGTCCGCGTATTAAGCCGGACCAAGCGGCGGCGCCAGTGGCGTAAACAGCAGCACGAATGCCCATCGACACAAGCCCATATTCCCTTTTATTCATAAGAGTGCCTTAAATGTGACCTCTTAGCTAATCAGATGGTTTCTGAGCCACTTTTAGAGGTATTTTTATCGGTGAAAAAAGAGTTCGCTACTGGACTGGAGTATAGATTCAAAATCATGTTGACAATCGTAGAAAGAAACAAGATGTGACACGAGGCACTTGAGAAGTTTCGTTGACTTCTTCCTGCGTAATGAACATTGCATAGATAATATGTAGACACTATTTTTTCCTAATTATTTATTACATGTAATAATTTCAGTTTTACTCGATTTTTACACATGGCATTGCACACTTATAGATTGCAACACTTTAAGGATGTCCCGAACTCTCTCGTAAAAGTTCTGCTTCTCGTTAGACAAAATTTAACTAAAAGGAAAAATAATAATCGAAAGAGAGACCCAAATATTTACCTATCTCTCTCTCTCTCTCTCTCTAGATCGATTCAACACGAAAGAAATCTTGTTCCGTCCACATACCCGGGCACATCCCTTTCCTTCTCGACCTCTCTCCTCCGTGAAGCCGTGATTCTTCTCTCCGCCCCCCGCGCTAGCTCGTCCCTGGCGCGCGACTGGATCGCGGTACCCACTCCTTTCTGCCGACGGTGCAACCTTCAAAGGCCACTGAATGCGTCCATGAATGAAGTAGGAAAGTTGCAGATCGACCGGATGTGTGCATACTAGGTGGGTAAAGAAAACGAGAGCCCGGCTACGTCAGAGCCCGGCTGTCGATCAAACCAGTTTCAGATCGTGATACCGGCTAAATGTACCGCGTATTACGCTCCCCCCTCCCCCCCTCCCGCCCTTACAGTTTTACAACCGAAGAATAAGGCGTCGCTCTGCGTCAGGAGAGCGCAATCGCGTGGATCACGGGGTCGTCCTGCGGGAAAGAAAGAACTCGCTCGAAAATGTCGCGATCGCTCTCGTCGCTCGCGACTCGCCGATTTCCGAATCCTCCGCGGCCCCTCCCGTGCTCTTCGCTCTAGCCGCGCTTAAAGTCTCACCTTTTCAACGTCGAGGAGCGCAGCGGAGACGCTCGAGACGTTCGTTCAAGCGTCGCCACCGGACACGAATAAATTGACGATACGACTCGCGTGCACGAATGAGATTTGATAGGACCAAATTATTTCCGTGTCGCTCCTTAGAACGACAAGGGGAGAGTTGGTGGAGGATGCGCCGGGAGAGGAGGAGAGGTGGCCGCGGGCCACGGAAATCTCGATAATGGTAGCGGCGGTAACGGCGGCGAAGCAGCTGTCGTAAATAACGGTTGTTTGAATTGACGATGCGTCGTTGTGATACGGCGGCCGGCCGCGATTTTTCGTCGCGCAAAACGGACCGTGGGAATACGACGGCGCGAGTGAACGGCACGCAGTATTTCAGGGGAACTCGTGGCAACGTGCCTCTCGGTAGCGTTTTCTTACCGTCATTCATGATACTACAGCACGGCAATAGGATGATTGCTTGACGGTCGGTGACTAAAGTGGATAAAGCCTTCTACAGCAATCTAACGCAAGCAGGACGCAGAGCTTGGGCCCATCTCTCCTTCTCTCTCTCTCTCTCTCTCTCTCTTTCTCTCTCTCCCCCTTCTTCTCTCCCTCTCTCTTCCTCTTTGTTTTTTTCTTTTTTCGCAGACATGCCGCCCGCCTTTCCTCGCCTCAACCGTCTCATTAATTGCGCATAATGATGAATTAACACAAAGCGAACGCGTGGACGCCGAATGTGCGAGGTGTTTAGACGCGATCCGATATTGCTTTGGATTCATCGCGTCAACGGGAGATCCGGTGTATATATCCGGCCGTTCTCCCGAGCAATGCCGGTCTTCGATGTTATTTGTGAAAATATCGGAGAAAATTCGCCCGAAGAGAGAGGAAAAAGAACTACTTTGATCACACTGGGCGGTGCACTTTAGTTCACCCGATTTCGACGGCCCTGGGATGGCAGCAGTACTAACCCTGCTAACAGATTGACAGACATACTCACCGCGAACTGACCCTTCCGTAGTGATTTAGTTATGTCTCTATGGACGCGCCGCCAAGTCGCGTGTGTTTGACATCGTACCGTAAAAAGTAAAAGGGACGCCGGAGGGAGTGCTGCGAAAGGGTTCAGTCGCGCTCCTTATCTCGCACTGTCGATTGTGCTTTCGCCGCTTCGATACCGTCCTGTTTCGAGATATTATGATTAGGTGAGTTCGTTGTAAGAGAACACGCTGACGAGGCACACTTTGTAGCGAGATAATGCCGAGACGATCGCGTTCGACGGAATATTTTCGAGACGAATTCTCACCGGAACTCGGAACCTGATTGAGCCGCGACTTCTCCTCGGCGGAGGAAACGTCAAGCCGATTTCGCTTTTTCATTTCAATAGTCCTGAACTTCAATTGTGTGTATCGAGGCATCATGAGAATTCGAAAGATGAACTGTCGTTTGATTGGATAATTTACACTAAAACGCGATACATTTCACGCGAGGGTACTCGACAAGTAATTTCGCGTCGAATGTCATCAAACGGTGTCGTAGGGATGTCATATCCTTATTTTGCGTTTCCGTCGACAATCGATGTATTTATTCACATGAGACGAAAGTACGAAAGGTGTGTGTGTGTGTGTGTGTGTGTGTATGAAAAATCGATGAAAATAGATGTGTAAATTAATTCGATGACTGGCTTTACCTATTTCTCTAATAGTATTTTAAATCTGAATATTTTTCCGCTCTATAATGTGGTTTTAAAGAGCTGCCATCCTGTGTTTGCAAAACAACATCGCAGAATGATCGATATAACTTCAGAAAATAGTAGTGAACAGCGTTTGCTATCGATAAAGAGCATATTCGATACACTGCATTCTCTTTGCATTCCAACTGCTATAAAATGTTACTTGAACGCTACAAAAATGGTTTGTTCTTTTGATGAAGACGCGGAATAACTTGTAAAAGATGATATCAAAAGATTACGAGAAGGCCTGGTTCATGGCAATGCTCAATTTCACGTGGCCAAAAGAACAAATGGTGCTATTTTTAATATCGTTGTTTTTAATATAAATTTTCAATATTTTCTATCGCGATGGAATTCGAAAACTGCACTGTTAGATAGCATCAGGTCACCGGTAATAAAACGGAGATTATTCCGATAATTAAAATCCCAGATAACAAACATTTCTAAAGGAAGTCTCAAGGATATCCAAAAGACGTCTTATATTCTTTTTAGATGTCTTATATCTTTAAGATGTCTTTAATACGCCCTTTACAGATTTGTGCCGTTTGGATTTACACACTTTCCATTAATTAATCAATCTTTTACACTTTTGGCAACGCAAGCATCGAATTAATTCACACACCTAACACAACCTAGATAGAACAGAAAATGACGATGACGTCATTTGACATCAATGATCAAATGATATCAAAATGACGAGAAAGTGGCTACATAAACTTATTTTATTTCGATCATTTTTCCATCATTTTGCCGTCATTTTTACGTCATCGCATTTTCTGCTCTACCTTGTGAAACTCTCTAAGGGTCGATTGTGTTCCTCAAAGCGCAGAATGACAAAAGCGAGCTCTCGGTTAATGAAGTAACTTTTCACCACGATAAAAACGTGATACATGTGAGGTTGCTCGACTAGTAATTTCGTGTCGAATGGCATCAGGGTGTCGCAGGGATTCTTATTTTACGCATAGCCAATCGCGCATACGAGAATTGAGCAAATTCAACGAAGGTGTACGACCACTTGGAAATTTTAGCTCGTGTGAAGGCCCATTTCGTACGTCTCAAGAAGCAGCCGCTCTTGAAATATTTTGCATCCGGCATTATCAGTTTTCTTCGTGATTACCGCAGACATCTCGATGGAAGATACGGACGGTCGTAAAATATTCCCGCGGCTCTCCGCGCAGATATTTCCCGCTGTTTACGTCGACTTTTACGACCGCTCGACTGTGCTCTTTAATCTTTAACGTACGCTTCCTTAACTCGACGATACACGGAAATCTTGTCTTCGCTTCGTCCAATCGGACGGAGAGACGAAAGATGATCTTTTAAATAATTACAGCTAGATTCGCTGATAGGTAGAACGGAACATCGCGATAAAGTCAAAACGACGCGAAAATGATCGTGAAGATTCACTTCTTCCATCATTTTCTTTTCGGTGTCATTTTCTGTTCTACCCGAGAGGGCGGACCGATCGGCTGAAATTGCATTAGCGACGCGAACGCCGACGTCAGGTGCGGCAGCTCGCTTTGGCAATTCGAACGTTCGTAACGGCTGTTTCATAGAGGAACGGTCCACTGCCTTCTTATTTATGTGAATAAAAAAAACAAAAATATCGAGGTAAGCTCATATGTACGAGGAACTTTGTGTTTGCGCGAACGAACGAACGCGTCGAGAGAGAACGCAGCTTTCCTTCTTTCGCGAGTCCTTTAAAGTTAGCGAGCCGATCATCATCATTGTTGTCCTGCAATTGTGTCTTGCGATCCGAAGCGAAGATCTCCTTGTTACTTCTCGAACTCTGTACTCTTATCGATATATTCGTTGTATGGCTCGTCTCTCTCTCTCTCTCTCTCGCGATCCTCTACACGTTTTTGCATTGCTTGCCGGTTGATTGCCCCTCGAGCACGTTGATGATGACGTCAGCATTCTGGATGAGTCACTACGCTTAATTCGCGCAGCGAACATGTACAGAACGTATGCATGCACGTACAATTCGAGCCTGCGTGCGCGTACGTACGTATACCGTACGCGTAATGCGTGCCGATGTATGCGCATTGTTATAGACGGGAATGCCGGTAAAACCGATGGTAGATCATTTCATAACGGCCTCTCCAAGAGTTCTAACTCTCGCGTTACCTCTCTCTCTCTCTCTCTTTCGTCGTGGCTTCTTTCTAAGCGCGAACGCAAAATGTGTGTACCGAATAAGATACACAGCGACGACGTCACGCTCCGTCTGTGCGAGAGAGCGAGGAATTTCCAACAGAAATACGACACATTGGGCACGTGATTTTATTTACAGCTCCGTTCTGCGATAAAGTGTATATAATAGGAGGAAGACGAAAGAAAAAAAACAAGGAAGGAATCCTCATTTCGGAATAGAGATAATGATCGCGCCTACAATACGACGCGCGGTAGCGACGACGTCTCCTGCGGCCCGCGGAGTCGCGGACGATCGCGCGAACGAGCTCGACAATTAATTAAGCGACGCTCGTCTTCGCCGTGAGCGTCTTATGATGAAGTGATCGCGTTATCGCGCGGGTATTTCGCGCGGTGGCAAAACTGCAAGATACGTGTATCTCTGTGCAACGCGCACGTGAGCGACGGCAAGGACAGACGTTGTTGATTCGCATGCACACATGCACGCCCGCACAATATTACGCGTCGTATTATATAACGCCACTGTAAATAACACGCCTTTACGTTGCAAATTCGAACCTCCCTCTCGACAATGTGAAATTTCTGCTCGGGATGTCGCGGACGCGGCGGCGCGTAACGTCGCGGAAATGGAAAATTAAGGCAGTTGGAAACTTGATCTCGGGAATTCTTTCGAATTTCGAACATATCGATCCGCGCGTCTGTGAAGTTGGGAAACGATCGAGCGTACGGAAGCCAAGATGTTCGCAACTAAGTTTGGACAAAAGTTTCATATGTGTTCCTTGAGGTCCTATTTTTAATTTCTGCTTTGAATTTCTTCTAAAACACACGTTTACCAGCAGGAATAGAAAAGAGTTGATGTTTCAATTACTCAAGCGATTTTCCGACGAAAAACAATGAAGAGACAAGAGCGTGGGGGACGACGAGCGGACAAATCGAGCGCATATATGGGCTAGTGAGGCAAATCAGTTGAATAAAATTGGAGGAAAGTATATTTTTGTTCAGTAAATGGTTAATCTATGAAGGCTGTTCTTAATATCGCCGTTGAAAATCCGATACTCTACTGAGAAACCGTTTCAAAGCAGCGCATCATGTGTGATACGTGTGAGCGAGAAACCGTGTGTGATTGCTCACGCACACGATCGATACACGCACATATATACATATATCAATCAGTCCCACCTGCGACGTCAATGGTAAACAGTGCAACGTGATCGCACTTTACCGCTCGTCAGCGGTGCCGCTGTGTCGCATCGCGTTTCACCGCGTGGTTTTCGCAAATCTCTTAAGCGTACTCTACAATAAGCAGTAGGAGTGTGTTCATAAGAATAAGAAATCGACCGATCGATAATCGAATCTGAGGAGAATAATCGACTATGATTTGATTAATTTCTTATTTCTTCTAAATATACTGCCCATTGTAGGCGACATTTTATTATCGAAATTTCGCGGATTTTTTGTACCTAGCGAATTCCCAATCTCGTGTGTTTAGAATCGTCCGAACGGAAGGCAAATTTGACCATGTCGAGGTTGATCGTGTCGGATGAGCAGGAAGATCATAAATTTGTGAACGCGTCCCGCAGAATGGAAGGGGGAAGAGAGGGGGAGAGGGGCGTGGGTTTTATTTTGAGAATCAGTCGCGAAGACGACTGTCTATGCATCGAAGGAAGAAAATAGTTTGAGTAATTGTAATCTCACTATATTTTACAACCGGTTCTAGCCTCGACTATACACTTATAGTTCTTTTAGGCATGCAATATATAACAAAGTGAATCTGAATTTATAATCGTAACAACGATGACATTCATTCGTGTAACTGTTTTATGGTTGTCATAAATATCTAAAACGAGAATATATATATAAAGTGCTATATGATTCTTTGTAACTATATTCTACATAATTATACTTTACTCTTAAAATTATTACAATTCACGGTAAAAAATCTTCATGCGTTGATTACACTACCCCTATGTTGTAATTACAGCCTGTATTACAGTAACATTTATACCACATTTTTGGCTTCTTTTATTATACTTTTCCAACAACGCTATATAGTTCGGAATATCGTATATTTTCTCTCGGTGTGAGATCTCGGCGTGGCACGATTACAATTACAAACTGATGATTCACACGGAGGGTAACTCGGGTAGCCGGGCTACCGTCGGGGCTATACGGGTCGCCCGGTTTGGCGCCCGTTAAGCCCCGGTAAGATCCACGGCAAACACACTCGCGCAATTATCGCGTTTCCTTTCGGCACGGTCGTGTCAACACGTGTCTTTTTTTCAGGTCAGCAAGTGATTAATGATGTCGTCGCAGCGCAATTAGCGA